CCATAAGTCTTTGGAGGGCGTTTAGATTATCCTCGGATGCATCCAACATGAAAGAGAGGTCATCAGCAAATAGGGAACATACTGGAATTGCATCCTCGGGGATTGATGTTATTTTGATTTTTTTGATGTCTCTGTTTTGTCTCAGGTTTGCTGCCAGGGCTTCCATTATGATCACAAAGAGAAATGGTGCTAGTGGATCTTCTTGTCTGACTGATCTTTCCAGATTAATAGGGGGGGCTAGGTTACCATTAACCATCGTCCTCGTCGTTGCATTCTGGTGCATAATTTCCACCCATCTTCTAAAGCAAGGACCAAAATTCATTTTTGTCAGGCATTTATCTAGGAACACCCAATCGACATGATCATATGCCTTCTCAAAGTCTATAAATATGAAAGTTGCATTGTGCTTAGATTGACGCGAGACTTTGATGAGTTTGTTAATCAAGAGGATATTATCCTGAATATTCCTTCCTGTTATGAATCCTGTTTGTGCTGGGTGAATAATATCTGCTATTACCTTTGTCAATCAGTCAGCCAATACTTTAGCCACCAGCTTGTATACTACTGTTAATAAGGTGATGGGGCGATAGTTCCTTATATTTGTTTTTTCTCCTTTCTTGCATAACAGCGATTTCGTCAAAACGGACATTTTATATTTTCTGAACAAAATTGAAATTGTCATTTTCCTAGTCATTTTGGTGGTTTTTTATGTTTAGAGCACAATTGGGGAGGTACCCCACATTTGTTTGTATTTTGTGTTCATGTTGACCACAAGTTTCACATCGCTTTCTCGCAATTTTTGGGGGGGTGTTACAATTTTATTGGCATTATGTGAAGTTATAGGGGTCTTTCTGATGGGTTTTGTTGTACTTTAAATCATACCGATTAACATTTACTATGTTTCATATAACAAAAATGATCGACTTTTGGTTTTTAATCGAAAACCGCATTAACAAAAGAGAAAAATATTGAACGGAGGGCTGAAAAAACACATGGCAGGTTCAGTAAATTACAAAAAACTCCATGGACATCTACAAAAGTTTGAGCCATATGACACATGTTGGAGTTAAATTCAAACACACCTAAAAAACAAAGGTTTGCATAGAGAGACTCTCTCTCTCTCTCTCTCA